TTACATTATAAAAATCTTTTTTGTACGCAAAAAATTATTAGAATACTTTAATTTTTTAAAGATTTAATAGTCGCATACTTTTGTGGATGTGAAAAATATCACTTTTTAAGGCGCGACTGACAGGGTTCAAGGTTCAAATTTTCATTTGGGATTTTTTCTTTTTAATGACTCAGTAATTTTATTTAGTTTTAATTTTTAAGTAATTTTAAATATAACTTTTGTTTATATGGGGCTGTCCATTAATTACGTCAACAAAATAGGGGGAGGGGGGTCTAAACTTTTTTGACAATTGTTCACAAGGGGGAGGGGGGGTAGGTCAAGAAAAGTTGACGTCAACACTTTATTTTTTTTGAACATGTTACTTTTTTTTATAAATTAAACTATTTAGAAAAAGGAAAATTAGGCAGTGTTTGCAGTCCTGTGTTACATAGTCGCTGAACCTTGAGTATTTATATTTCTATCCTATAATTTATATTTCTACTTTTTAAAAACCGTTTTGTGCATTAAAAGGCCCGACATACAGAACTAAATAACTACACACAAGATGTTTACTCGTAACGGTATTATTTTTTAAAAGTTATTGTTGCCTCAGTCTGCTGTGCATTCAAAAAAGATTCATGTAAGTACCTTGTCTGCATTACATTGTTTAAACGTTTATACGTTTAAACAATGTAATGCAGGGGTGCAACCTGTAGCTCGCAAGCCTTTTGTGGTTTTTTCAATGTCAAGATAAAGCTCTTTCAGCGGCTCTATTAAAATTAATTGGCTTTCAATGTAAATTTTTATTATGTATAATGTTAAATCGAGGAGAATTTTATTAATTTGAAATGATTACAATTTAAACGTGTGAACATTTTTGTGATCTTTTTTTTCTTAAGAGAAAAAAAGATTATTTTTTTATTTATTTATTTATTTATTTATTTTTTTTTTGGGGGGGGGGGGTCGAATGTTGACGTAATTTTATAGAAGGATCACTAAAAGTTTGACAAGTTGTTGACAAGGGGAGGAGGGGGGAGGTAAAAATTGTCAAAAAATTATTGACGTAAGTAATGGACAGCCCCTAGGTATGTAACTATATATAAACAACAATTATATTTAAAATTCCTTAAAATAAAGATAATTATTTTTATTTCTTTTAAATAAATAACGATATTTATTTAATTTATAGAACCTTAAACATTTAACGGATCTCCAATATCATCAATATTTCAAACATAATTCATGCCTTGTATTAAATAAAATAAAATTATAATATATATATATATATATATATATATATATATATATATATATATATATATATATATATATATATATATATATATATATATATATATATATATATATATATATATATAAATGACTAATAATTTCAAATTTTATTTGAAACGCTGGCTTCACTAAGTTATACGCAAAAAGCTGCGAGTTTCGCATTTAGTTATATTTATATGTCACTGGTCCTTTGTCTTTTGTCATAAGTTTAATTTTGCAATACGTAGTTTATGGACGATCCCTTAGATAAGAGGTGTGGCACGATTTATTATATCCAACCAACTACATCCATGAGTAGGGCTGTCTTATGCTAAGTTATCAATTTTAAACAATATATCTTCGGATTTGAGTTAGCCATAAACAATAAGTTGATATCGAATTGACTACCTTTAAATGTATAGTTGCATTTTGGCAAACTTAAAAACCACGATATGCAGCGTATCGTAGTTTTGGAGTTTGCCAAAACATTACTATAGATTTAAATATAGTCAATATTGCCACCTAAAAAGCTAATTTTTTTAAAAATAATTAAAAAAAAAAGTCAAGCAAAAAATTAAAAATGTTTGGGTGGTATTGACATAAATCTGGCGTTTGAACGTTATTTTACGAAACCATCTGCGACTTTAGTAAGTAAATTTGTTATATGAAACTTAATAATAAAAAAAGTGTTATATAATATTATAAAATAAATTGGTAAAATTAATATAATAATGTACTAAGACTTTAGCTAACAATCCTCGTGTTTTTATCCATACATATATTCGATTTCCGACCGAGTAAAGATTAAAATCATCTACGCAGGTTTAGAAATAAGCAAAAATAAATAAATAAGCACACAATAAAGGCTATTTGGGGATATTTTTTCAAAACATGTCAGTAAAATATTTAAATTATTTGGATACTGGGAGGATATTAAAATAGTAACAACGTATGTTTTCTACCTCACTGACCAAAACGAGAACAATGATTACGTAAGCCTTTGCCGCGTTTTTTTATTTTCAAAATGGCTAAAAATTTAACAATAACACAAGTAAAAGAAGTACTAAAAGCGTATAAAAACACGATAATAAAAATTTTTACTGAAAGAGTTGAAAAACTTGAGGAAAAGATTGAAAAATTAAAAAAAGAAAAGACAACCTTAAAAAAAGCTAATGTTGTTATAAATGATGCAATGAACTTAAAAAAATACTCGCTATGAACAAACAATAAAGGAATCAAATGAACTTAAAGAGAAACTTAATAGTAACATTAAAGACAGCAAAAAAATGAATCTTGGTGAAGAATTTAAAGATAAAATAGCTGAACTGGAGGATAGGAAACCTGGGAGGAAAGTGAAATAAAAATAAAAACCTTTATAAAGAAAAAATTTAATATTAACGAAGAAGTACATATAGAAAGAGCACACAGAATAGGAAAAAGGACGAAGAACCTAACAAGAAAAAAAGACGAACAATATTTGCAAAGTTTTTAAACTACAAAGACAAGGAAAAAGTACTGGAGCAGTATAGAAGACTCAAGCTATAGAACGAAAGATTCTTTCTAAACGACGATTTTAGCGATCGAACCATTGAAAAAAGAAAAATACTATTCGCGGAAGCTAAAGAACTACGAAACGCCGGTAAGTTAAACAAACTTGTTACACGTCTTTAAAAAGAAATAAAAGGAAATTCTTTTGAATTAATATATATATATATATATATATATATATATATATATATATATATATATATATATATATATATATATATATATATAAGAATAAAAATGATGAGGAATTTCAATCTACTCATATTTGACTTTTATGACAAATGCATTAATCAGATGAAAATTTTGACTCGGACGTAAATGTTTTCATGTTACGCACAAAGAGTGCTCGCAACATTATCCTAACGAAATAAAAAAATTTCTTTTTAAAAATGAAAAAATTAAAAACTGTAAACAAATTAGACTCCTCCACATTAATATGAGAAGTTTAAATAAAAATTTTGAAAAATTTCGACGTTTTTTAGAAGAAACTGAAAACATAATAAATATGGAGATATAAAAAATAATTCTAATTTTTATATTTTTGATTTTGAAACAATTTCAGTAGAGAGACAAACAAATAAATGTGTTGGAAGAGTTCTGATTTATATAAAAGATTCCATTGCACATTGTATTAGGAATGATTTGAGCGTTTCTGACGGCGATAAAGAAATCCTAACCATTAAAATTTTCAACAAAGAGTAAAAAATTAATATTCTATTAAGCTGTTGTTACAGGCCACATGGTGGGTCCAAAAATTTTAGCTTGTATTTACAACAAAAAATAATTAGCAAAGAAAACTATGAAAAGAAAAAAAATTATATAATAGGAGATTTAAATATTAATTGTTTATTATACAATTATGACAATAAAGATTTTTTCAAAAAAAACCCAAATAGGGGTAAAGTTTTAGAAAAAACCTAAAATTTTACCCCTATTTGGGTTTTTTTGAAAAAATCTTTATTGTCATAATTGTATAAAAAAAAAGAGCCTCTAAAATTTTTAGGATCCCCTAAAAATTTTAGAGAATCTTTTTTTTATCATATTGATTTCATTAACAATAAAGTTACTAAAAGCATTGGCATCCTATTTAAGATCAGATATTTTTTAGATAAAAAGAGATTAATGAAACTCTACTTCTCCTTTATACATAGTTATATTAACTTTGCCAATATTTATATATAACTTCATTTGAACTTTTTTAAAAAAAAACTAAAAAAAAATATTTTTTCTATAAACGATATAATGAATTAGTTCTAATATGCAATAACGCACTGTATGATACTTAATTTTTATTTATTTATGCTGTTGTTGTTGCTTTTACGTTTTTAAAAGGTTCTGACGACAAGATTAATGACATCTTCAATCAGAAACCTTGTTTACATATGTAAAGCTTTTATTTATAAAGTTATTTATATAGAAAGAATTGGAACAGCGCCTTAATTGGAACACTTGCATTTATTTTTGAAAAAAATGAGTGCAAGTGTTATTACGGGTTGTACGCTTCGCGCAAATTTAATCTTTATGAAAAATAGCATTTTCTACTATAGCTGTTTTTTTATACATTTTATTTGATGTATAAGGTGATAGTGATAAAAGTACATTTTATTTGATGTATAAGGTGATAGTGATAAAAGTACATTTTGTTTGATGTATAAGGTGATAGTGATAAAAGATACAATCCATTAATGTTAGCGTAATTGAAAAGGTTTAGATTTTTGATGTGTGATATGCCATCATTAAGAACAAACACTTATTTTTAGTGCTACAATTCTTATGTATAAAAAAGTGTTTTATAAAATCCATAAACAGATTGACTCAAGTTGTGACTACATGATGTGATACATGAAAAAAAAAACAATTTAAAAAAGGAAGCATATCAGCAAAGTTTAAAAAAAGTAAACTGAAGCCAAAATAACAATAGACAGCTTTAAAATAAAAATAGAAAAAGAGGGAAATAATTTTGATACTGTGGATAATTAAAGATAATTAAAGATAAATTTTGATAATTGAAGATAAATTTGTTTTGATAATTTTTTTGAACAAAATATTTTTGTTCGGTGTTTATCAAAAAATCATTTTTGGCACATTTTTAATTTTAAATCAAATAGTAACTTGTAACCGTTTCAGAAGTGTTCAGTGATTCTACTTTGTAGCTAAACGCTTTACTAAAACAACAAAAACTACATGAAAACAGAACTTACTTTCCGAATAACAGACATAGCTTATAAGTGTATATTTGAAAACACCAAAACATGGATCGCCAAATTGATCATTATTAGAAGCTATAACACATTTGTTATTGTTGTTGCATAATTTTTGCACAACATCTTCAACATTTTTTTTGCAGTTTAATACGTTAAAGTTCCCAGTGTTACATACTGTGTTATCAAGTCTACCATACATAGCACTTTGAATTCTTATTAATGTTTTTGTTGGGCATTGTATTTCTTTTGCATCATATTCACATATTGTTACTATAAAAAACAATGAAAGTTTCTTTGAAATTTTTTTAAAAAAAGCCTAGAATAAAACTTTTCATGCATCTTTGGTATACTTGAGTGAAAACATAGTCAATATTGAATAATTCCTGACTATATCAGCAATTATTCAATATTGACTTCTTAAAAATAAAAATTCAGTTTTGAAAATATATATGGCAAGGTTATTTTGGGTTTCCAATTTGTTCATAAGATATAAACAATATATGAGAATGAGAAAAATTGTAGCAGCTGTTGCGTAGTGGTTAGAGTCTTGGCTTTGAACCAAGAGATCCGAACCGACATTGGTACGGAAAGAGTTTTAAACTTTTTAATTAGTTGCTTCTGAGTGCTGTTCTGTGATAAGATTGTAAGGAGTTTTTGGAGCTTCTAAATCACCACATAAAAAAAAATGAAAATGGTGAGCAATAAATAATAGATTCTATAAAGGAAACTGTTCAATATGCTAATGAATTTATAACATTCATTGTAAATGAATGGAAGTCTAAGGAAGTTTGGTTTATGGTACGAAAGATTTAAATAATATATTAAAAAAATTATTGATTTATAATGAATTGTCCATAAAGTACGTACGCTTTTTTTCGTCCACCTACCACCCCTCCCCCACCCCACGTTCGCATTTTGCAATACGCTTTTTGAGTACATCCCACCTACCTTAAAGTACCTACGCTTTTAACCTATTTATCAAACATTTTATGATTAAAAAGTTTAAAAACATTTTATCATTAAAAAGTTTCTTTTTATTAGGGATGTACCGAAGCTGAAATTTTGCCGAAGCCGAAGCTTCGGCCGAAGCCACTTTGCCGAAGCCGAAGCTTCGGCACTATATATGCTTAAAATTTAATCAGCATTCAGATCAGCAGGGGTGTAAAACAAAAAAGGTACCAAAACTAAGGTCCTTGACTAATAATATAGAAAAATCATATACAAATGAGGACGCCAGTCAGGGTTGCTGTTCCAGGCAGGGCAAAAGCTCTCAGCGCCCCTGTTTAAAAGTTTCTCATTATGTCGTTTCTTATACTTGACCGCATCGAGGGTTTTTTTTTAAACTTAAGCTTTTTTGAAACATTCTCCCCAAATTTTCCTACTTCTAGTTCTACTTTTTCTGTGTGCAAACCATATTAATGTTATATAGCATCTTTTCATGTGCTGTATATTTTATTTTTATTTTTAATGCACCTTTTGTTAATAGACATGGATAAAATCTCTGAACATTACTAGACTAAATTTATCTTTTGCACTTGATCACTCTTTCTTTAAATAAACACTCTTAGCTAATCTAGTTGTATCTACAACATAAAAAATCTTAGAAACACACTTTATCTTTTTATTGCTATTTATTTCAATATCTTTTTTTTACTTCTCTGTGTTCTTTAAACGAACAATTTCTAAACTAAAAAAAACCCAAGTTAAAACCATTTTGGATTCCACTTCAACTGTTGTGAACCTGCTGCTAAAAAAAAGTACAAATTATAGATTTCTCTCTAACTTCTTTTTTACACACTTTTAAGTATTTTTTTTTTATTATTTTTAACTTAACACTACATAACATTTTCTATAGCTTTTTTTAATCTTTTATACTTTGAAATCTTAGTATTCATTCTTCTTCTGTCTCTATAATGGATAAATCTCCATCAGTATCTGAAATCAAATATTAACTATCTGTGATAAAAACTTCCAAAGTAATCTAACAACTCTGTAGAGTGAGCTTTAAATAAAATAATAAATTGAATACTTTATAAATTTTTTATTTATAATTATATTATTATTCGCTTTATATTTATAAATAAACAGGGACTGAGCAGGCTGATATTTATTTGATTTAAATTGTTTAATTAATTTAAATATATTTTGATGATAAATATAAGAACTCAAAGTAATCAAAGCTTCAACCTTTAATTTATTTTAAATAAAATTTAAAAGTCTTCATAATATCATAAGAAGAAACCAGAATATTGGTTTACATGTTTAATATATAAATTCAATTTAGAAGTATTCATAATATTAATAAAAGAGCAAGGATAGTTATTATCATTGTTTTTCTTTTTCTTTTAATTTATCTAGTTTATGTTGGCTTTTTTTTTTTCTTTTTTTCTTCTCCTCGTTTATATTTCATTTGCTTTTCTTCCTTTTTTGTTGTTGAGAACTTTTTGTTTTTTATGTGTCACTCCATTGACTATTTTGTATCTATATAAGTGACACTTAACCAATTTCTGTAAATTTACGATGAAAATTTGTAAATTTTTATTAATATGGTTAAATAAAATTTTAAAAAATTAAACATACACACAATTTAAAATAGTAGCAACGTATCTTTAATCTTCTTTAAAGAGAGATTACTAAGGTTTATCTGTCAAATGTTGAAACCAAATTTTGTTCTATTTGCGGTAATCCCACACAATAATTAATATGAATTCGTTACATAATACAAATTAAGGTTTTAAAAACTTTTAGTTTGTTTTAAATTATAAGGTTTTTATTCTGCATAGAAATGCTGCTTCAGTTCATCTAAAGTCACACTTGGAAGCTTTCAAAGTGTATGAGGACCTTCTCTAATTTTATTATTTTTTTCAAAATATTTTTACTTATTTATTATTATCCCCTCCATAACAAGACACTTGGGAGTAAATAATACTAAGTATATGGTATAGACTCCAACTTTAACTCTGTAGTCCTAAATTTAAAACTTTATTAGACACTGGCAATTAGCTTATTTTTATAACTTGTCCCACAGTAGCTTATAACTTTAATTACTTAAAATTTTTTGCCGAAGCCAAAGATTTGGCAAAAAATTGACCTGGCTTCGGCCGAACCGAAGCTTCGGCAAAATTGCCGAAGCTTCGGTACATCCCTACTTTTTATATTGTAACGTAATCTTCGTCATCCCGATTTAGACGACCGTCAGAAGGTGTATTTATATCACTGAGTTTTTAGTGCTTCTCAAACTTTTTTGTTAAAGTTATTGATTTTCACCTTAAGCTTATAGTTCCAAGCTTTTGCTGAAATTGCTAATTTTTCTTCTTATGTATTTCGTTGAAACTGGTAATTACAAGTTAAGTCATTTTATTTATTTTATTGCCGTTGTTAATAATTTTGAAGAAACTTTCAAGTTTGTACACACCCGAATAAAAATTTAACGGAAATTTTATTTGGGTGAGTAATTTTTTTGTTGATTTAAAGTCCGGTTGGTAACTGCTCTTATGAAAACATTTCTCAACTTTAGGTTAATCCCTGAAACCCATGGCAGTACTGTATAAGATGGGAGACTAGTGGGACTATAGCCTCGGCCCAAGCAGCTTTGGGGAATCCGATTGAAAAAATGTTTTAGTGAAATAAGTCATAAATACCCTACAAGATTCTCATATAACAACTTTGTCATCCCAAAGTTTACATTAAAGTTAAATTCATACTCAAGCCAACACCGCGGACCTTATTTGTGGAAAATTTTCCCCCAGATTGTTACTATCATAGGAAATACACTTGAACAGTTTAAATCTGAATCAAAGCGTTTTTTATTATCTACGGACTTTTTTCTTTTTCTTTTTTAGTAAAAAAATATAAACTAGCACAATTTATTTCTTTTATTTGCTTTAACTTTTACTTGTTCTAAATTTATTTTACTAAACGAATTTATATATAAACAGTTGTATCAATTGTAAAACGTAGTTTTACACATTTTTATAAATTTTATCACAAGGAATTTATCACGATTTTATAAATTTTATTGTAAAAAACGACCTGTAATGAAGTCACAATGGAGCTCGGTGATAAAACAAACTGATGTCTTCTTCTTGCTCCAGCCATTTGTTTTATTATTTATGTTATTTTATAAATTGTAATTTTCTACGGCAAAATTAAAGTATAAAAAAAAAATTAAAAAAACACTTTCGAAGATTCTTTTGGTTGACATTCTTAAAAATATCGTGAACAGTCTTTTTTTAAATTCCAGTAGTAATTTGTCATCATGTGTCATCATGTATGTCTTCTTTATCTTCTTCTATATCTTCTTTGATATCAGTCTCCCATTGCTTTTAAAATCTTGATAAAACCTTACACCTTTCTGCTCACTAAAAATGCTAACACGTCTCTTAAATTTTCAGTAAAACGGTATAAATGTCTGAAAAAGGTTTATGAAAAAATGTTGTGACCTTCCTATATCACTTGCTATATAATTCTCGAGAAAAATTTTTTTTTGGTCAAATAAGAAAAAAGTACTTAACTAACAGTTTTAAGAACAATCTTTTAATTTCAAGTTGCTTTTCAACTACTCAAAACTGTCTCATTAAATTGTGTCAAATAAATTTTTTACTCTCTTCTAAGCATAGTCATCAGAATGAATACTTTTTATGGCTACGTTCTGGGTGGCGACTATTCGTACAAAAAAAAATAGCAGCACTTTAAAAAATTAATTATTTTATTACAAATAGTTAAAAAAATAGGCTTTTAACAAAGTTGTGGCTTGAAAATAAACATTTTATAGGTAATTAAATTTTTTAGAGCCAATAATATCTTTTTTCTTCTTTTAAGTAGCTGAAAAAAAAAAAGAAAAAAAAAGCTGCATTTTTAAAAATCAACTTTTTTATGAAGAAAATAATTTAAAAAAATACTATTCCAAGTATACTTTTAAAAAAATTGTGGCTTGAAAATAACCATTTGTTAGTGTAACTAGTCATTCAAATTCAATAAATATCTTTTTTATTTTTGGACAAATAAAACTTGACTATTGTTTTATTCTCTTTGAGTTTGTAGATACTTGTTATTATTTTGCATATGAAAAAGATCTAATTTTGAAACAACGAATTCAGTTTTTTTCCAAAAAAAAAAAACAACCGAAATTTTATGACAAAATAGAAATTAAACTTTATAAATATTTCTAAAATTTTTAATAACCAAATAAGCCATAACCAAATTCTGCAACATAATGTGTTGAATATATAACTTTTAAGTTAAAAGACAATATTTTTTTCTTTATTGAAATTTCAACCGATATTAAATCATTTTAATTTATAAAAGAATTATTATAAACAGAGTTTGTATATAATGATAAACATTATTGCCTAGTTTATTGCCAAGAAATTTAGCAAACTTTCTAATCGATTGTTTAAGAAAATATTTTGCCTCGCCATTATCTTTAAAACCAGCTAGCTGTCTCTAGTAGATACAGATATAGTTTGTTGTGAAGTATCTAAAAGCATAATGCTAATAACTAATTCATATGTGTACATAACAGGGTAGCATTCGTTATTGATTAAGATATGCTTTTATGGAGAAGAATTGAAATTGGTTCAGGATTTTTTATTATTAAATTCAAAGAAATAATGCAACGATTTAACATTGTATTCCTTGCAAAGCCTTATTGACCCAGTAAGCACAGATTGTTTTTTAAACGTTTAAAAAACGTTAAAAACCGTTTTTTTAGGTTTTTTACGATGAAAATTTGTAAATTTTTGTGCTTACTGGGGAGATATGCATTTCTAAAGCAAAATGCGCAAGTAAATATATTTTTTTACTGTTTCACTAGACAACTCATACCCCAAGGCATTTACATCTTTAATGAAATTTTCGTCTTCAAAAAGAGTACCATTTACAGAGAAAAAGGTAATGGATCTACATCAAATGAAGCATCAATGAAGCTTAATGCGTTCCAACATTTTGTGCACTCTGTTTCCGACCGCACGATTGTTTTTAAGTGTTTTTAGCGAATATTAGAAAAATCACAGTACTACAGCCCGAGTGACCAGATTATTTATTTCTAACGAATACGCCTAAAAGTTATAAAATCCTACGCACAAAATTTTTTATTTATTTTGAAGACCTGTGTAATTAATCGCTGAAATGTTTGTTTGAAATTACCACTAGTTTTTACTTTTTAAATGAAAATTTACAAAACAAAATTTTTTTTAAAAGTAAATTTAAACAAACATTTTTATGTGTTTAAACAAACATATTAATTTAACGTTTTTTATAATTAGACAAACTTATATTCATGACAAATGATGAAATGAAAACTTTTGAACATTATTTAAAACAAAATTGATTAATTTGTTTATTTTAGTTATTTCTATATGTGCACTGCGCATATAGAAATAACAAGAACAAGAAGAGTGTCACTCAGTCTAGAAAGTATTTTTAAAAAATCAAGCTATATCATTCACCAAAAAAGCATACAACTCAGTGGGCACAAGACGTAAAAAAGCGGTCTTTTAAACGTCTTTTTAACGTTTTAGACGTCTTTTGAATGTCTTTTGAACGTTTTGGATGTCTTTTGAACGTTGAAAAAAGACGTATTATTTTGGTCCTGTGCCTACTAGAAAAAAATATAATATAAGATTTTTTATGGCATAATTCTTTTAGGTGCTAAATGTATCTTATTATATATTATTCAATAAGTATGTTATGAAGAATTTCCAAATAAAAACACGTTTGTAACTCTTAATAGTGTGACTTGATCTACTAAACTAATTCCTTTTTTATTTGTTTTTGTATTAATATTTCAGTCATATTTTTTAGATATTTTTATTTTATTTATGTCACTCTTAACAACTTTTTTTAAGCTTTAAATTAATATTAAAAAACTAGTTAAAAAATTAGGAAAAAAAAAAAAAAAAATTTAATTTTAAAAGTGAATATAACTATAAAATAAATGTTTTATTTTTTATTATTAATACCATTTCAAAACATGGCGCCATCTTTTCAATGTTTGTTGGGAACATAAATAAATAGAATAAAAAACACTGCCAGCCACATATATTTTGCAAATATTTGGCTGTTTGTAATCACGGTAATCTTAAGAAATGACATCCATATAGGAGTAATCTTTAAATAGTTTGAAATTTATATTAATTTTTATAAACAAAAGCGGCTAAATTTATTTATAATTGAGATAATCCATGAAAGTTACAATTTAAATAAAAAACAGATTACATTTAATAAATAATTGAAACTTTTACGCAAGACGAGTTCAAAAGTCTCAGAAAATCAAAACACAATTTAAATTTGAAAGCAATTCACATTTGTAAGCAATGTTAATACAACATTGAATAACTAGTTATCCTAGTTTCTGTAACAATTGTATATTTTATGCGCGTCAAAACTTTATAACAATGTCGCATTTAAAAAGATAATATAGTAAGAAGGTGGTAGGACTATGAAAAAAATAGAAATTCTACGTTCCACGTTGAATAAGGATGTAAAACAAAATTCATTATCATGAAATAGAACATTTTTTTTAAAATATAAAATACTCATTAACTTCACTTATTAATTGTAACAACCGTAAACGATCAAAAATATGTTGTTTAGCGTTAATAGGAATTGAACGTTTTAATAATATGTTAAACATATTTGAATATGTTATGCATTGAAAAATATAGCAAAAAATATTAAATCACCTTTAGATGTCGTTGTTGTGGGTTGTTTTGTTGAGTTTAAAAATGGAACATAATCTGGTGGTAAAGTTACCTGACCTCCTCCATACTCGCAACAATTTCCGCTAATTCCTTTATCGCATTTGCATTGATCTTTCATGGGGTAACCGTTGTTATAACAAAACCTGTTGCAAACTTTACAATCTAGCAGGCTCTCAGGACAAATACCTGTATTAGATTCAGTAATAACTTTAGTTCTGCTTCGACATGATACACCGATGTTACCACACGGAGCCGTGCAAAATCCCCATGATTGCCACTCACTGACAACGCAATTGGAAGCTAATAAAGGTGTAATGGCACTGTATACTAAAAGTAGTCTATTGAATGTAAATACCATTTGGAACCTTGCTTGCAATTTAACTCTGTAAATCTAGTTTTAAATGATGTTTTTTTTTGATAAAATTTAAAAGAATATAAAATCTAAATGTATATTTGTTTTTAAATACGTTTTTCGTCTGCCATTTCAAAATTTGCAACAAAGTTTCGAAATTTTTTCGAAAATTTTTTGTTTACCCTGTATTTGTAAACAAGCGAGGCGTAAGATTATTTAGATAAAAGATTAAACTTCATCAAAAGATCAACTTTGGATTATGTTTATGTATTCAATTAACTAAACATTAAATTCCGTAAAGGCCAAAGGTAAAGCAGTTATGATGTATGATGGAATATGATTTTTATATAAAATAAGTATATAATCGTTATGTTCAAGTAAAAAGTACCATAATAAAGTGTTAAATAAATAAAAAAACGTTACCGCCCTTCTCTGAGTTAAAAATTATTTTATCGAATCTTTCTTTTGTTCGAAATAAATATGACACTATACTATGTAGGCTAAGTTTTATTTCTGGTTTGGTATCACTAATAAAAAAAATGTTTGGTAAAATAGCTAACAAGATTATTTTTTATTTTTAACTTTTTAAATCAAAATAAATAACAATATTAAGGAGTCTTTAAAAAGTTTTTTTTTTTAGAAATGAATAAAAAATATCAAATACGAAATTTTATGAGGTTCGAAACAGCAAAATTTTAAGAAAGTATACACAGTATCAAATGGGTAAAAATCCAACAGAAAAACATATTCTATAAAGATTGTAAGTGTAAAGGGTAAAGGGCTTATAAAAAAATCTTTTAGAATTTTCTAAATTAACAAGGTAAACCTTGGTAAGTGACGTGAAATTTTTAAAATGATTAAATACTAGATTCTTACACAATTTCAGAAAGAGCATTTATACACTATTTTAATGGTAATTTTTTTTTTTAATTTTCTAGGATGGAGCTTAAACTATTTATTTAGAGTTGTAAAATGTGTTTCCCAAGTAATTTTACTTGTGTTTATACATATGAAGGTACGTTTTACAAACTCATTGATCGAAGGATCAAGATAAAGAGTGCATTAGCTTTACAAATAAGGGAATCAGTGGCATTAATTGAGAAAGGACGGCATTATGGTCTACAAACATGCTAAAAAGTGATTCAAAATTGTTTAGTTTAATATATTTGAATTTGGCATGATATGCAAACATATTGCAATGCTGTTTTAGCCTTCTATAATTTTTAAGTCATCCTTGAAAAAAGTCTCAACGAATCCTACATTCAAGAATAATAACTTTTTAGACATATACAAAACGCTCAGTAGCCTCTATAGGTTCGAACTGGATTGCAATTCTGTTTTAACACAATAAAGAGATGCATAGTTAAGCTGGTAGTAGCAGTCCTCATATTTAGTATGCTACTACCAGTTCTGGTAGTAGCATATATTATATTGCTTTGTTTGTCGGTCATTTTACCGTTGCGTGTATATGGTTATTTTGCCCCCCCCCCCTACACACACTTGCGCACTCAAAGAAAGAGTCCGGAATATAGTGAGCATTCAACACGTTTCAATCAAAAAGTTCTTTTTTTTAGAAAACAATCATCAGTTTTAGGAGTTTATCCCTCTCGTTCTATTTTTAGTGTCGCCCCTGGCTTTGTTTAGCGTATTAACATTAAAAATATTTACTTTTTGTCGATTGTGACATGTTCATTGGGGATATATTCAATAAAAAAATTTTATTTTTCAAGTTTATAGTTTAACAATAAAATGTTATCTTTAGTAAAATTCCAAAAAACTGTCAATGCCATTTGTGAGAAGAATTAATAAACTAGCCTAAACCCAGCGAAGGGGTAAGATTGATAACATTTTAGACTTAGAAATTAAGTAAAACAAAAAGAAAAAAAAATTTAATGGGATCTTATAAAGGAGAGATATATTTTTATATGAAAAAAAATCACAAAAATGTTATACCCTAGAATTATTTTGCAAAAATTCTCAAAACACTATCAGAGTTTTTTATCACCCCATTTGACCTCCTCTAATCCAAATTATTTTATGAGCATAAAAAAGCAGAGTGTGTTTCAGAAATTCTCAAAAAAATTAATAAAAATGTTTAGAAAAAAAAAGGATTTACTTTGTTATTACTTGTTACGTGATAGAGTTTAAATTTAAAGTTTCTATTTTTTAGATTTTGCAAAATGTAAGCTAGAAATAGTGAAATCATACAAAATTAAAATTTGGGTTTTCAACCGATAATTTGTTTCTTCCCGAATTCATAAAAAGTAGCGCATTAAAATTTCGGTATCGTTTCAAATTGAAAATAACATTAGGATCAATTTTAAAAATAGTAGATATATATATATATATTTTTATTTATTATATGAGCCTATATATATATATATATATATATATATATATATATATATATATATATATATATATATATATATATATATATATATATATATATATATATATACATATATATATACATATATATATATATATATATATATATATATATATATATATATATATATATATACATATATATATATATATATATATATATATATATATATATATATATATATATATATATATATATATATATATATATATATATATATATATATATATATATATATATATATATATATTGGCTCATATAACAAACATATATATATATATATATATATATATATATATATATATATATATATATATATATATATATATATATATATATATATATATATCTGAGTGTATAAATTTAATACCTGTAGACATTTTATCGCTACAGCAGCTTCCAAAAAAGTCACCCAAGCATTCGCATCCATTACTTTTTAAAATGCCGCCATTAAAACAAAATCTATTGCAGTCTCGATTTTCCTCCAACGCAAAGTTACATGATCCACCTCCAGTTTCTTCACTTTGTTTAGTTCTGGTTCTCATTTGAGTCCCTTCATTTCCGCATTTTCTATTGCAAACACTCCATATTGACCAATCATTAAGAGTGCAATCTTTCTTAACGTTGTTGTTATTGTTGTTGTTGTTGTTGTTGTTGTTGTTGTTGTTGTTGTTGTTGTTGTTGTTGTTGTTGTTGTTGTTGTTGTTGTTGTTGTTGTTAAAAAAGCAATGAACGAAAAGACATTGAATATTAATGTATAAAAATAAATGCGATGCTTTAAAAAACATTTTATACGCAGTGTTATAATCTTATATGCACGTTAACTTTAAAATTTAAATCATTTTGCTTCAAATATATATTTTAAAGCAAACAACAAAAACTAACAACTGTTTTAAAAATGCAAACAAAGTCAAAGATTTATTTAATTTGCGAAAATATTGCGAAAATGACTGTTTTAAATAAAAACTATAGTTCTTTATTATTTTTTTAGTTAGAGATTTATAACAAAATCAAATATTAATGTTTGATTTATTATTGTTTGTTTTAATGCAGGTTTAAGAATAGTGAATTAAACACTAACAATAAGTAATTAGTACTTTATACTGTCTAACCCATAACAGCATACTAAATATTTTTTTAAATTGTAAGGTTAAGCAGGCCCATTTTTGGGTCGAACCTAGTCTCCAGCCAAATAATGGTTGTGGCCTCTCCAAATACACCTCTTTCTCCGCTCCGCTCATCCCCTCCTTCCTCCTTAAAAATATAATTCATACGTAATTATAATTTTTTTTATGGCTCACTTAAAAAATACTTGATTATAATAATAACAATACTTCAAGTACTTCATTAGACTAAAACTGAACATGTAAGTGTGATGGATAAATATAATAATTTAATCCAAACAATAAGCTAGTTACAATCAGATCTTTTTATTTTACATATATATAAAACAAATCCGTAGGGTAAGAAAAATACATTGATAATTATAGAGACTACATAGTTTTCATCTAGGTTACATTATTATGTAGATAAAGTGTTTTTGATATCTTGTCGGGGCTCTTAAATTAGCAAAACGTTTAATTGCACCTTTCACGTTGACTTATTTTGTAAATAGATTTTCACTTTTAAGAAAAATCGTTAATATCGTTGTTCTGAAATTCTGAAATCTTTTAAGTTTGATAATATTGCTTATTGATTGTTATGCTAGCCAAGGTAATTTTCAACACTCTCAAATTATAAACGATTGTGAGCCAGAGCTGATTAGGATTGGCTTTAGTCTAGTCAGGGCTGTGAAGTTGGAGTCGGAGTTGCGAAATTTTTAGCGGAGTCGGAGTCGCTAAACAAAATCGCGACTCCGACTCCAATAGTAAAACTTCTCGGTATTGCAAAGTGCGTGTACAAAACATTCAATTAAACTTATGTTCATTCTAAACCTCAAAGAACGTTTCGAAAACTTTTCAAAAAAGAAATTTTTAACTTATCGCGTAATATTATTTTAAGAATTCAAAAAAATTTTCAAAGTATTTGCTTTGCAGTTGGAGTCGGAGTCGGAGTCAGAGTTGTGCTCAAAAAATTTCAACTACTGGAGTCGGAGTTGTTACTTTTATTTTACGACTCCACACCCCTGGGTATAGCCTAATAAAGTATAAAAAAAAAGTCTATTATCTGATGTCCAGTGTATTTTGATATTATAAATTGTTTATCAAAAGGAATAACTCTTAACTTACTACACCTTTATGAAGAACAAGGAGTAAAAAAGTAGAAACAAGAAAATTTTCAAACATGCAAATTTATGTTATTGTTTATATCAATATCAAAAGTCAATACGTGTAAAGCACATGTTCCTTGGTTCATTCTGTTAACCTGAACAAAGTATTGTTTATTGTATTCTATAATTGGTAAAAAATCTTTGCCCTCTAATAGCCTGACGGTAAATAATATTAAATTGTGTGCCTAATAAGCCTTCGCAAAATTTAGGTTAAGTAACAACTTATTCAGAGTTTGTAGATTTACATGAAACGGAAAGCTAGTTCTGTAAATCATCTGTAAAAATTTTCTTAAAACATTTTTTTTAGTTTTAAAAATTCTCTTAATGTTTAGTTACTATAATTAACAAGTTAGAATAAAGATGCAATAACAAGCTTTGAATAATCTCTGCTCCAGCTTTAGATTTACACTTTGCATACTTTACCAGAAGTCTGGTACAACAACATATTAAGTTTCTATTGAGTACTTTTGAATCAG